AACACAATTTCATTCGAAAATCACATCTAACGATTAAATTCTTGGCTAATGTGAGTGAATTCAGAAATTTTAATTTTTTCCCTGATGTTCAGTAATTTAGTATATCCCTAAATATATGGTCCCTTGAATATCAAGTAAGGGAGAGTTGGCTGTACATGCAACACAAACACAAAATCCGTATGTGTTGTTGTTGTTTATGTTTGGTCTTAAATGTATGGGAGTACACGATCAATCAGGCCGACTCAATTTCGGCAATAGTGAAATCCAACCAACCACTGGCCACCCGTGGCGCTGTTGTCGTAGAGGTGATAAAAAGGTAAACATCTGTAAAACGTGACTCACATCAGAATTTTCACTTTTTAAATTGAAAATTTGTTTTGTTTTGTACGTTTTTGATGACCATAAAGTTTGTAAAATTGTAGGAAAAGTGGCCTTCTTCAGAATGACAAATGACTTCAATGATATCACTGCTTGCAGTCAGGAAAAAAGTTGATTTTTTAAACTACGTAAACACAAGCTCCACCGCTTAACATTTTCATTTTTGGGTTCCGAATTCGGGGAGCGCAGTGCAGAAAGGTTGTCACTGTTCACGGATCAGAGACAGAGCGGATATACTCTCATCATTTTGTTGATAATGAGTCCCAAAGTTTGTTGTCGTGGGGTAATTTGAGATTAATTTCATGTGGCGGCTCCCCGGAATGGGAACTTTGCAGCACAAACCCATTCCCCTCAATTCTTGCTGCTGATCTACTGGTGTAGCCCAGGCACACAATATGCTAGATTTCTAAATCCGCTAGCACGGAGTCCCCAACATAATCCAGTACATCCAGCTTGGACTTGGACGTCGATTTCGGGATAGGAATCTGTAATCATACAAAACATAACCTAAATAATATCAGTGCATGAAACAAACGCATTATCATTAACTTTCAAGGACATTGTAATGAAAATAAACATAACATTACATTATTTGACAAATTTCCTACATGTATCATCCATAATAATGATCGTATCTCACTATTTTGAACTTTTTTTTTACAATAATTTACCATTCAAACTCTGGAATTTGAACCGGCTGTCAAAAATTTATCATTATCGACTAGTACTATTTCCCACCACTAGCGTCGCATGAATTTCACTTGGATTCTATTATAGTGAATTAACTCAGAAGTGAGATGAATTTTCCGGATTTTTCATGGGGGAGCTTCTCGAGTGTGAGGGGGGTCGATGGATCTTTCACTCAGTCTATTAGTATAATCCTAGACTGAGTGAGGTATTCATGGATTTTTCTTATATTCGAGAGGTTTCTCCTGGTTTTCCACGGCTTTTGTCTGGAAAAATCGGCTCACTTTTGAGTAAATCTGGATAAAAATCAGTAAAACTAGAAAAGAACATAAGAAAAAGCGATACCGTCGGTAAGGTGTGCACCCGAGTGCCGGAACATAGTTTTATCGGGAAAAGACATTACGATCTATCCCAAGTCACTATTGTAGAAAATCAGACATATCTCTGGCGGAACGCTTCTGATTGTTTCGAAAAAAAGGGTGCATGCTTGACCCAGCTGGGGATACATTATTTACTGCTTTAGAGAACATAATTTCATTTTAATATCTTGTTTAATCGGGGCTTAAATAATCGTCACGTCAGTCTTAGCTGACGTAAAAGGCTCGATGGCCTGAACAATGCATATAGAGTAATGCATCGTCGGTGTCAGGTTTGAATGGTTACAACAGCTCGAGTAACGGTATGATGTGATATGAGGGGCTAAGTGGCCTTAGAGCGACCATTTTTGCTTAATGAGCAGAACATCATCAATCTAATCTCAGGCCCATCCACATTCAAAATTCGTCAATCGTTTTATTTGTTAATATGACTACATGGTAATAACAGCAATTCGATGGTTAAAAAACAACCTCGTTTACCTAGTGGAAAACGTTTTTGCTTACTGAGCAGAAGAACATGGGTTCAATTCTAAGCTCCTTTTCGTTATATGATCGTTAGGACATCAATGATTCCTCGTGGAAGTGCAGAGGACTATTCGACTTCCATCAAAGCGAGTGTCACGTCAACACATTCCTACACACTTAGATTTTTTCGCCGAGATGGGCACCACCGAGCAGCTCGGCATTTTATTTTGCTGGATCTCAGTGAAAAACTTGCCGAGATTCAGCTAACAAACGGGAATTTTGCCGAGATCTCAGCTAACAAACATATTTTTGCTGAATTTCCAGCAAAATAAAATGCCGAGCTGCTCGGTGGTGCCCATCTCGGCAAAAAATCTAAGTGTGTACCCATTCCTTTCTTGAGCTGCATCCGGGCATAGGCGGCGCTGATATTGCCTAGTTTGAAATCACCAGTTTTTACGTATTGAGGATGATTGCTAGTCCCACGCATCGTCTATCGGTTCTCTGTGCAATTGAAGCTGATCTGGCAATAACAGAGTAGCAACCGTGAGTGGTCAATCATGCTCATGCTCACCCAATATTTTCATAATACTAATCACCCATATTTTTATACTACTGTATGAACTCAACAAATTTGTTTTGGAAACGTATGGAAAATCAGCCCAACTCGAATCTTAAGCCCCAGTATGGGTTGATGCATATATTATTTCACGCTCTAAGGGGGGAGGGGGTGTCTAAGATTGTGTGACAAGCAATGCATTAGGTATAGGAAAAACGTCACGATAAGGGGGTAGGGGGTAATTTTTTGCTCGATTTAGCGTGATATAATTAATGCATGGGCCCTATGTTAGACGGTACACGGTAAGAGTCCTGTGAAATAGCCTATCTTTTGTGAAAAAAAAATCCGGAAAATCGTTTGGTTATGGTCCCGTTTACGGTTGACTTCAGGAAGTGGATCGTTTAGCCTCATGTTCCCCATTAATTTAGGAAGGAAATTATAATTATCATCCAGAAACAGCGCTTAGATTAAGCTACCGTGAACTGTATCTTCTTAAAAAAAAGCTGGTGAGTTGAAAGGAGCTAGTTAGTTTAACTTTGATCAGACGTCAGGGAGTAGTTCATTTTGCCCGATTTTTCCTTAACCTTTTAAAACAAGATTAATCAGAAGGAAAGTAGAATTGAGGGTCAAAATATTGAACTTTATACACTTAACTATTATAGAATTATAATTATCCAAGAAACCGAATAGTGCAAGTTTCACCTTTTGGTGACCTCTGTAAAACCCCTTTTTTTTGTATTACAGTCACTTTAACGCTCTTGGGTCATTCGTGACTTGTCTGGGGGTGAGATTTGAACTCGTGCCTTTGGCGTGAGAGGTATGGATTCTAACCACTACGCCGGGGTCGCCCCCATATGTCAAGCGGTTTTAAAGATTGGCTTCATTAATATTACACTCACTTGCACTGTACTTATGTAAAAAATGTCCGGAGAATCGAATGATGAATGGTTCCCGTCTTACGCAGACTATAGGAAATGGTCTATTTTACCCAATATCCTTCCTGATTTAAAAAAATCTAGTACACGTCTGATACAACAAGTTGCAGAAAATGAGTAGTGAATGGAATAAATAGCTTTTTATAGAAGTTGACATGAGATAATTGGATTAGACTACTGAGCCTACAATTCAGGTGAAACTGATTATTTCTTGAACTATTCATACTTCTGCTGCATTCCTCCTGGATCCTGGTTTGAGGTACAACGTGTGGGAAAGTTTCCAACCAGAGTGCGTTGAGTGGTTTTTGGCATCGTGCAGAATATGTTTTTCTTCGATTTAACAGCAGAAGTAAAAAAAACTGACATGAAAAACAGGAAGACTTTTTCCGATGATTTATGCCATCTGTTGGCAACGAGAAAAAAAGAGCAAATCGGAGATGATAAATGTTATTGGTTGTAAACAGTTCGTAGAAAAAGCCGGCTGGTCGTGCCAATTTCCTTAATTCCTAGTAGGTAAGCTGCAATCCTTGAAATTATTTAATTATTGCACTCGATTCGTGCAACTCACAAGCTGGAATCCAACCTCATCTGTATGCAAATCCAACCGAGTTCGAGAGATAGTTCTTGGGAAACCATCCTAATCCATGGTTCGGGATTGTTTCGTAGAATTGAACAAATCTCCCCTATGGAATGCCGTTCATCCGGAATGCCACTTCACTGGAAAGGACCCAACTTTAGCAGTAAAACTTCTTCACCGAGAGTGAGAGAACGCTCGTCACACACTCATGCGGGATCATACCATACCTACAGTATAATATGTAGGACAACCAAAGGGAAGACAATCGCGTGCCAGCAAAAGTGAATAAATTAAATCCGTTGAAACAACGGATGCATTTCACATTGAAAACTCCATTACAATCTCCCAGCGTCAACTGCTTTATGCTGCTACAGACACAAGTTTTGTCTAAAGTGAACGGATTAGTCGCGTACCAACCGGTGGTGGTTTGCTTGTTTGTTTGCCATGCACGCCACAATGGTGGTGTTGAAATCACTTTATTATTATGTGCTTGCATGTGTTACAAAACGCCTGCCAGTCGGTGGAATCCTTCAAGTGAAAGTTACGATGCATATTCATCATACGCGCTACGAGTATGTAAAAGATGTACGTCCTGAAAGACGGATGAAGATAATGTATCGTGCCAATCTCTACCTACTACCGTTCGCGACTAAATGTTGGATCCTTGTGAGCATTAATTATTCATAAGCCCGTACCACTACTTATTAGGAAATGTTTCAAATTACGAAACTACTTCGGATCACACTTACCAAATCTTACGTAGAATCTCCCTCAAGCCCACCACACACTATCCTGAATTTTCTGTCGTCGCCTTAGCTAATTACATTAAACATGTACAAGTGAAATGAAATTGCTCAGTCTATGTCCGGTTTGTTAAGGACAAAATCGTCATCGTCGTCCTTGGTGGGACGCTTCGTCCCAATTAAATTCATTACTGTTCATTTCTTAGTCTACTAGCACATAGTTGTGTTCGGTGAATTTCAACAGCATCTTCTCATTCGTTCTCGTTTGCTCTCCGTTTGCAGTTGGATACACAACGCACGATGTCCTGTACCGGTGGAACAGTGGCCGCTCAGCCGTGGCCATTGCCGAGGATATGAAGCTGTCTCAGTTCGATTTGGTTGACTGTCCTGCGGGCAACATGACGGACAGCGTCGTCCACAACACAGCCTTGGCGGGCGCAACGGTGCTCAACGCGGACGATGACATTGAGACGAAACTATATGTTTGTAAGTATTGAGGATTGTGCGTGTGTTACCTTCTTTTTCTTCTTGTGTTCCTAAAGATGTGATCTCTGTGCCTACAATAAACTCTTCCTAGTTCGACACTAGACATCAAGTGTGGGAGGATATCAAGTTACGAAGTTAAATTTAAGCAAAGATATCTATGGATAATTTCAAGCGAAATGATAAAGCGATGTCCATGAAACCTTGTTCGCTATAAACAATCTTTTAAAATTGTGCAGTAATTCATTTTTTGTGCGGGTGAAACCGACAGATGATGGACAGTCTTGGAAATTCAATGTTTCTATATTATAAAACAGTTCAATTGTTTTTAAAATATAGAAACATTGAATTTCCAAGACTGTTCATCTTACCCCCAGCATCTGTCGGTTTCACCCGCACAAAAAAATGAATTCCTGCACAATTTGTGTGATTATTTGAGATCATAATAAGGATAAAAAAAAACACATTGCTCACGTCTGAATACGTCTCGGGTTCACCTGGGGACCAATAGAACCAGATCCGAAACACGCCATGTGACCAGGCATGGAAAATCATTTACATTTATTTGCCTCTAACTTTTTTCATCAACAACATTCCGCAAAATGATGTATAGAGCTTTAGTAGGTTTTGTTATTAGCTACAACTTTTGCCCATAACTCAAATCTGTATCTCTTATGCATCACGAATTAGAGCGGGCAGAACTTGGTACTGTTTTTCAGTGAATGTAAAATACATTCACTGAAAAACAGTAGTGGCTTCTGTTCGCTCTGGTTCGTCATACATAAGATATACGGATTTGAGTTGTTAACAAAAGTTGTAGCTAATAACAAAACCTATAAAAGCTCCATACATCATTTTTGAATTCTGTTGATGAAAAAAAGTTAGGGGCAAATGAATGTAAATGAATGCAAATGATTTTCCATGCCTGCATGTGACACACTTGAAAATTCAAGAATTGGATCATTAGCGATGACGGTCGATCTATCTAGCACATATGTGTTCAAGACAACCACAAAATTCAGTAAATCCGATCTAATGAATCATTAGCATTAAATACCAGCCTAACCCCCTTGGTAAAATTTTTAGAACAAAGCCTCTACAAGCCTGTGTAAAATCAAAATTTAATTACTTATTTCAACAATGAATCTAGAAAGCAACCAGGAACAGGATCGTAAATATTGTTGTAAGCATTTGGTGCTGTACAATCACAGGAACTCCACATCGAAATTTACATCCATCACCACAAGAGCAATTTATACTTGTTTTTGTTTATATTTTCCCATTTGACAACTCCCGTACCACACTTAAAAAATTCCACACGTCATCATCATGTGTCTCACACTTAATTTTGCGCATAATGTGAAACACATCCATTTCATGTGTGAATCTTATGCTATAAACCATGCCTGAACACTATGGATTTGAATTGTGACACACTTGGATTCTATGTGCCTCATATGGTGATATCAATAGCTTTGCACACCATAGTTCAATATTCTACAATATTCTACTTTATCGAATTCTACTTTACCGACTCTAAAAATGAATCGACAAATATATAAACAAAACTGCCAGAGGCCAGAGCTTTCACAAATATTTTTAATGGGTCTGATTTGGGATTCGATCATGGACTGTTGGGGTATGCTGCTGCCGAAGTCTTCGTTCGATCTCACTGTGCCACGGTTGTTCTTATATATGAGGCAGGTTGATAGGATAAAGTCACAACTCTTGTTATCGATGTTTACCTTTCTGAGCAAGCAATTCACATCGTATTGAAATGCAAAACACTTTAAATCCATCTGTTTTGAACAGTAGCGTGATTCAATGTGCAATACACTTGAATAGATAGTGAAAGATTTTCAACATTTCAAAGTTTGAAACACTATAAATTAACGTGTATAACACATTGAACCAAGGTGAAATACACTTAAAGTAAATGTGATTGTGCATTTAGAAAATCAAGTGTTTAAACACTTCGATCAAACGTGTGAAATTTTTTGAGTGCAGGTTGTGTATAGTGAAATTCATTAAATATCGCAAACTTAGAGTGGATGTGATAAAACCTTATAATTCAATAGCTGAGCCTCGAAATAATCAACTGTCTGTCTTACCCCCACTGTCCGTCTTACCCACAGTTCTCCTACACCTAATTTTTTTAAATGCCGTATTCGTTGCCGGTTTCAATAAATCGTAGCAGCCTCTTCTAATCAAAATGACGTCTGAACAGGGATATAGAACTAAGCACAAACGAGTAAACATACACTCAAAAAAGTCCACTCATCTGATCGAAGTGTTTAAACACTTGATTTTTCATATGCACAATTACATTTATTTTAAGTGTATTTCACCATGTTTCAATGTGTTGCACATGTTGATTTCTAGTGTTTTAAACTTTGAAATCTTGATAATCTTTCTCTATCAATTCAAGTGTATTGCACATTGAATCACATTACTGTTCAAAATAGATTGATTTGAAGTGTTTAGCATTTCAATGCGATGTGAAATGCTTGTTCTGCAAGGTAAACATCGAAAATATGAGTTGTGACTTCATACTTATCAACCAGCCTCTTATATGAGAACAACCGTGGCCCAGTGAGATCGAACCAAGACAACTGTAGCAGCACATCCCAAGAGTCCAGGGCCAAATTAGACCCATTAAAAAAGGCATGTGCATGCTCTGCCCTTTGGCAGCTTTGTTTCTATATTTATCGATTCAATTTTGAAGTCGGTCAAGTAGAAGTCGATAGAGTAGCATATTGTGGAACATTGAACTATGATGTGCAAAGCTATTGATTTCACCATGTGAAGCACATAGAGTCCAAGTTTGTCACAATTTGAACCAATAGTGTTGAGTCATGGGTTCAAAGCATAAGATTCACACATGAAATGGATGTGTTTCACAATAAGTGCAAAATTAAGTTTGAGACACATGATGATGACGTGTGGAATTTAGTGAATGTATAGGGATGTGTGGGTATAGCTTAGGAAATTTTGTTTTTTCCTTAAATACCTGGAAGACTCAGAGAATTTAATAATTTTATTACTAAGGATATTTTAAAGAAAAGTATTAATTTTAAAATACAAGCATTTATTTTTTCTCGTGAGTTTCATTCGCACTTTGACCATTATAGATGCACAGGGGATTAATCTTCAGTAACAAATATATTTTAAAAAAACAGGCTTGTAATGTTGTTTTGCTTTGTTTTGGAACATACATATTTTTCAGAAATTTCAAATTTGAACTAGCTATAATACTTCAAGAAATTTTCAAGAATCTGAAGTTAAATTCCATGCACAGTTTAAAAGCTCGTGAAATTTTATTATAATTACTTAGGACCTAATTTCAAGAAAGTTCTGGGAAAAAAAATCTTTCAGAAAAACATCAAATGCAATCTGCTTTCAAGGTAGTTCTGAAGAATTTTAGATTTCTTGTGAAGCCTGATAGCTTTGAGTTGAATTTCACGAAACCCTGAATTGAATTAAAAGCAAATTTTAATGAAAACTCTTAGTAATTTCTGAGAAGCACAACTTCTTCAGAGGAAAATTCCAAGGGCCTTCTGAGGATAATTTGTGAGTTTGTGGGAGAAAACGACTCCGGGGCATAGGCCATTGGAATCTTTTTGAAAATACTAAGAGGAGGATTACAATTAAATCTGAGAATAACTCCAGAACATCTTCAAGGGAATTTGAAAAATAAATTCAGGAGAGTTTGCCAAATAAATTATGAGCAGAAATCTAAGGAATTTGTGAGGAGAAATGCCAATGAATTCTTAGGAGACATTTAATGTGAGTAGAATTCCAAGGGAAGGTGTGAGATTCAAAAAGAAATCTGAAATAAATTCAATGAATATCGGAGAATCTTTCCTAAGGGTTTCTTATTGTGGTGAATTTGAAGATAATTCCGAGAAAAACTAAAAGAAAATTGAATTCGAAGCTTCATCGTATATTTCAATGGAAATCAGAATGGACTATTCTGATGGATAGGTCTTCAGAACTACTTGAAAGTTCCATAAAATTCCAGAAGTTAATGAAACTGCTTTGCAGTTCTTTTTTGTTTGAGAAACTAGTCTGATGCTCACAAAACTTCTCATTAAATTCTTAAACTTCCCTTAACTTTATAGGACTTCCTAAAGTTTCCTCAATTTTTCTAACGATCATAGATCTCTTCTAAAGGTTCAATAATTCGCTGAAGTTCTTTGAACTTCTTTAAAACTATGTGACTTCTCCAATGTTAACGGAACTGCTCTGAGGTTCTCTGCTCTTTTCTGAAATTCTCAAAACTTCGCTAAGGTTTTTGCAGTTTTCATGAAGCTTGTTGTACTGCGCTGAATTTAATTGAACCGTCCTAAAAATGTTTAAGGTTTACTGAATGGGAAGACCTCAAATAAATTTTGAACGTATCTGAAGTTATCTGTAAATCTGGGAACTGCCCTAAATTTTCACTAGTTTTCTGAAACTAATGGAATAGACCTCCCTCTGAAATTCGAAGCTTACTAAACTTCTTAAAAATGCTCCCGCAATTTGCTAATGTTCATACAAATTCTTGAAGTTCGCGGATCTCCTCTTAAGCTCCATAGATTTCTAGGAAGTTCTCGAAATGTTCCTGAAGATCACTATCCTTCTGTGAAGATTTCGAAGTTTTTCTAAATTTCTGGAACTTTTGTGCTCACGCAATTTTCTTGGAATTAGAACGAAATAATTAATGAAGTTCTATGATTTTTACTGAAGTTCTAAAGATTTTTCAGAAGTTCATGAAACTTCCCTTAAATAATTTTATCAACAGTCTAGACTTTTCTGGTGGTATTAAAACTGCCTAAACGATTATTGAATTTCCTTAAAGTTCACTAGACTGCCCTTAATTAATCAGTATTTTTTAAGAACCCGCAACTTTACTGAAATTTAATGATTTGCCTTGAAGTTTCGACAATTTTCCTTAAGTATTATAATCATTATAAACGCTCACTAATTTTCCCTGATCTTATATATGCTTACCTGTAGTTCTC